AATCTTCCAATACACCTTTTTTGATAGGTTCTACGAAGTAATAAATTTTGGCTTCTCAAGCATACCCGGCTCATTGTAATTTCTTATTTCTGATTGCTTCTGCAATATTCGGTTTTTGATATAATGATTTTAACTCCTCGTTTTTCCTATTCTCCAATCATTAATTATACTGTCCTTCATAGTTAAATTTTAAGTAGATTAATTAAGATACATTTTTACTAAGTGGGCGAGTATATTTTAGCACAAGGGATGTTGTAGCATTCCAGTCAATCCACACCTGCTTAAAAATATTATATATTCTAAAAAATATAAAATATTTTTATATGGTTTATTAACAGTTTTTGTATGCTATATATTATATATATAGTCCAAATCACAATTATGTTAACAACATAAAATCTGTGTATAAAGTTTTTAGGTATCAAATACTTTGACATGTAACTTAATAATTTTCAAAGTTTTAAAATTTGTTTTATCTCATCAGTTACTGTTTTTGATTTTGAAATAATAATGCTTCTAAAAATTACTCCTGATTCATATATTTCCTTCTCTAATTTAAATAGTTATTATTTATTAATTTATTTGAATACCTGTAATTTTTATAGATGGGCCATATTTTGCATTCACTAAACGTCAACCTGTTGGAGTTGTCGGACAAATTATACCTTGGAACTATCCAATTTTAATGCTGGCATGGAAATGGGGACCAGCTCTTGCTACTGGATGTACAATTGTATTGAAACCAGCAGAACAAACTCCTCTTACTGCCCTGCATGTAGCTGCACTATCAAAAGAAGTAAAATTAAATTGACAAATAAAGTATTACAATAATTTATGTATAAATAAAATGTATTCACTTTATAGGCAGGATTTCCTGATGGTGTTATTAACATTGTACCTGGATATGGTCCAACTGCAGGTAAAGCTATAGCTTGCCATCAAGATATAAATAAAGTTGCCTTTACTGGATCAACAGAAGTATATACTAAATATAAATTAATATGATTATTTTTTTCATGTAATGTGGCTTAAATAAATGTATTTCTATTATAAGGTTGGAAAATTAATCATGGAAGAAGCTGCCAAATCTAATTTAAAACGTGTATCATTAGAATTAGGCGGTAAAAGTCCTTTAGTAATATTCAATGATTTTGATGGTAAATATTAATTTATTGTTTGTTGAATTTTTAACTACATACTATAATATTGTATTTAATATTATTATTATACATAGTTGATGAAGCTGCTCAGATTGCTCATGATGCTATATTTGCCAACATGGGTCAGAATTGTTGTGCTGGCTCTAGAACATTTGTTCAAGAAAGTATTTATGAAAAATTTGTTGAAAAAGCTGCCTTCTTGGCATCTCAAAAGAAAGTTGGAGATCAATTTGATGTTGATACACAAATAGGACCTTTGGTGAGATTTTAAAATGTTTTTTCATTTAAAAGAATATTTATTTTTTTATTTATAACTTATTGATTTCTTATAAATTTATCATTTCATAATAAATTCAAAAAATTATTGAAAATATCTTACAGTTTATATATTTTTAAAACATTAGACATTTTCTAAAAAATTTTATATAGTATTTACATACATATTATATAAACTGTACATGCATATACTACAAAATCATTCCTATAAAAATCCAGATGCTAGTTATTATAGATAACATACCAACTGTCATATTACATTGTAATTATAAATTATGTTTTTAGGTGAGTGAAGAACAATACAACAAAGTTTTGAGTATGATTGAATCTGGTAAAATGGAAGGAGCAAAAGTAGAAGCTGGTGGGTCAAAAGTAGGTGATACAGGATATTTTGTGTATCCCACTGTATTCTCAAATGTAACTGATAACATGAAAATTGCTAGAGAAGAAGTAAGTAATAAATATACAATTCTATTTATTAATTTTTAGATAAGATGATTTCAACGTTGAAATATTTTTTATTATTCAGTGCTTGAACATAAATTAAATTCCATTGTTATATTAAATTATTTACTATTATGTATGTATGTATATATTATAAAAAAAATAAAGATTAAATTAGCATTTTTTTTAAAGATTTTCGGGCCAGTTCAGCAGATAATTAAATTTAAAACTTTGGATGAAGTGATAAAACGTGCAAATGACACTAAATATGGATTAGCTGCTGGAGTATTAACTAACAATTTGGATACTGCAATGAATTTTATGGACAATGTTAATGCTGGTTCAGTTTGGTATACAAATTAAAGCTATTTTGTTTTTACTTCATAATGTCATATTTTAAAATTTTAAAATATATTAACTTCAAAAACATATTGAAGATTTTCATCTAATAATATAATCTATAATTATTGTTTGTTATTACTTATTAGGATTAATTGTTATGATGCTGTTAATGCTCAATGTCCATTTGGTGGGTTTAAACAGTCTGGACAAGGAAGAGAATTGTAAGATCTTTTTATAATTAAAACATTTAACAACAGTTTATATTTAAGATTATGAATGAAATAAGTATTGTGTTGGGCTTATATTGATAATTTTTATACTGTTACCATAAATATAAACAGGTTTTATATTAATTTTATTATTTTATTGTTAACAGAGGAGAAGAAGGTCTAAAGGAATACTTGGAAATAAAAACTGTCACCATCAAAAGAAAATAATTTTTAATAGTGTTAAAAAGAAAAATATTAAAATGATGAAATATTATATTATGTATTGTTGATTTAAATATATTTAAAATAATATTATAAATTTGATTAACAAAATAATGTTCAATTATTGAGTATGGTTACCTATATTTATGCATTATAACTATATATTTAGTTAATTTATTTCCTATTAGAATACTAACAATTTTTATGTGGTTAATTTAAGAACAGGCATATACCTTCATTTGTTGTCACCATGTTACAAATACATAATAACAAATGTTAATTGTATAAGTAAGCAATAGTTTAAAATGTATTAAAATACTTATTTAAAGAATGTCATTATGTATAATATGGAATATAATAATGCACAGAAATTTTTTGAGTTCCCACAGATCACAATAACATTTTATATTACAATTAAATTTTTATTTTTCATTTAAAACTAAAGTATTTATTTTTGTTCTAACTTAACTTAAAACATCTATAAAAAAAAAAATATATGCTTATAGAGTATTTAATATTTTGGTTTTGTAAATTTTATTAACCTTGTGTAACGTGGCCGAGGGAATAACTAATTAAATATAAGATATCCAGGGAGAGTCATAGAATTTTATGGATATATTTAACTGTTGCTGGGGGTAGAGATGGATTAAAGGATCATAAAATATATTTATATAACCACGGAATCAATGATAGTCATTATTGATCTATAATTGATAGAAAACTTATAATATAATACTCACATATGATATAATCTTAATATAATAAAAGGCAATGTCGTAGTCTTAACGAGTCCTTATGTGTAGATGCTCTGGTATGAACTTCCTTTCTAATACGTTGTGTGCATTGGCTATAGGCCTTACAATTATATTATATGTGTGTGTGTGTGTTAATATTAATGTATTGATAAGCATTTAATCGTACATAAATTAGGGTTCATATGAATAGATATATACATATTTATATTTATAATTGTTACACTTGTATTAAATTTTCAAGTCTTAGTTTTAAAAAAAAAAACCATTCAATCGTCAAGCTACTGATCTGACAAAAAATTTTTTATTGACAATTAAAAAAAAATCAAAAATGTTTCATGCTTATAAATAGCTCAAAATTGTCTGAATATTTAAAAAAAATCATGATTAGAAAATTATAATTTAAATTTTCGGTGAAAATATCAAGTATCTTTATAGATATAAGTTTTTAAATTACAACAAAGTATCTACAGTTGTTTACATTTATTAATAAACGTAATATTTTCTGTCATTTTAGGATTAAAAATTTGCAGAGAAGACAATTACCAATACTTGTATACTACTTATCTATCTAATTTTATTTTATTATTATTTTTTTTTTTTTTTTTTTTTTATTCCTTAAATTGCAGGCATTATGCTTCCATCTCAATCTATTTTTTTGTTCATTTTAAACTTTGACCAGCTATTTTGAGGTGACCTCTGAATACAAAAATCGATAATTACAAAACAATAATAATTTATTATAATAAAAGAGTTGTTAGTAAAAAAAAAAATAGATTTAGAATTTAGTAAATTATAGATGACAATTACATGATTTATTTATATATATATTTTAATAATGATAAAATTTTTAGAAAAATAAATATAAAATGTTGTTAGAAATCTAAAAAAATGTTTGATTTAAAAATATAAAATAATTTTCAAAAAGACACAATTTAATTATTTTATAAATAGTATAATAACAAAAGGCACCATTTTAATTGTTTAGCAATATGTTCTGACTAGATACCAGATATATAATAAATTCATATACTATATATATATAAATTATACAAATAAAATTAAATTAGTAAAAAAAAATACATGTTTATTTAAATAAAAAAATGTATACAATACTAACTTAATTTTAAATTTATGTAGATATATTTAATTAAAGTAAACTGTTTGATGTTTTACTTCTAGTAAATGAGTGTTCAATATAGATCTATTGTCTGTCAAACATTTACTATAATTCTAAAAATTAATTTCTAATCAATAAGTAATGAATAGTTAGTTTTCAATTGTACATACAGTAGAAATTATATTAACATAGGTACTAAAAAATTTAAACTGTAATATTATAAGGAATTTTATTTTGTAAATTTTATTTATTTTTTTTTTTTTTTAACTAAATTGTTAAGCCAACAGTCTTGTAATATTAAATGTGTGAATACATGTTTATTGTCAAAACTGTAAATGAAAATTGAAAACAAGTAAATCATAAAGATTTAAACTAATTAAATGTTTAACCAAACAAACTGGCTATTAAAAAATAGATTTTTCTTTTATTTAAAATTGTTTAAAATAAAATTTTATGTCAAATAATTTAACAGAAAATTAATAAGTATTATAGGTACAATGATATATTCACCTATACAATAAATAATAATTCATAGTAAAAAGTGTATTGGGTATAAATTGTGTATGGTAACAATTGACAACTTTAATATAATATATTAATATATTTTAAACATCTACTTAAAATTTTTTTTGACTAAAGGCATTGGTTTGCCATTGTCAACCAAGTCTTTTGCGGTACTAGACGCAGTTGGTCTCATAAATCCTAATGATTTTCTGGAGGGTGACATTCCTGTCATACCGGATCTGCCTTGGTTCTCTTTAAAACTAGTGCTCAACGGTTTTGGCTTTGGTTTGTTGACAGGAACTGCAATGCTACTACCACTGCTACTGCTTCTGCTAGCCATAGGTGTATCACGGTTGTGCTGTTGTAATGCATTCAGTGGTTTTTTTGATTTCAAATCTGTTGTCAGATCGTTGATAGCTCGTGTGTAGGTCGCAATACCGGGAATCTTTTTGACTGTGCTAACAGAGTTTGAGCTATTAAGCGAACTCCTAGAGCTACGCAAGCTACTTTTAGAACTTGACCTTTCAACAGGCTTTGGTGCACTTGTTGTTCTAGTTGTGATTGGCTTTTGAACAATTGGCTTTTGAACAGCCGTTGATTTTGTTATAGGTTTGGTTGATGGAATAGCTTTCACCATTGGTTTCTGAATAGTTTGAGGAGTTCTAAAACTACTTGTACGTTTTGGCAACTCAGTTTTTCTTACTACTATAGGTTTAATGGATGACTTAAGAGAATTTGTTTTTCTTAAAGTAGGGACAACAGGTCCACTGCTACTATTAGTATCATTACTGCCACTACTATCAGCTCTTGCAATCGTTTTTGGAATTTGTTTATCGGTTTCAAAGTTACCTGAAGAAGTCTCCTGACTTAGTGACTCAGCAGACATCAAACTCACAGATTCTTCAAAACTAATAAAAACAAAAACAAAGTCAATAATAAAACACTAGATATAAAAGAAAAAATAAATATAAATTAACTGTTTTATTTACCCTTCATCATTTAAGTCGTGTTCAGTTCTAATTTTTATAGGTGGTGTTAAAGCTTGTACTCTGATCTCTGGAATGAACTCACTTTTTAAATGTATTGATGATTCATCATTATCATGAAGATTTATCTTAGTCACTCTATCTAGAGCTTTTGGCTCTATAATACTTTTTTCAGGAGAAAGTTGTCCATAAATTTTGACAGCTTTCATAATATCACCATGATCTACAACACTTTGGTTTCTAGTTGTTCTGGGCATAGATGAGTATAACCGATTTCTAGAAAATTCTTTATTATCATCATCAGTTGTTTTATACATTAGTTTATCTTTCCACTTTTTTAATCGAACATCTGTTTCTTCGTTGGCTTTTGGTGATTCGTATCCTTCCAATTTTCGACCTTCATCTTCTGTAGTTTTTCTATATCTCCGAGTACGCCTGGCTGCTGAAAATCTATCAAATTGACCATCTCCTAGATTTTCTTCTTCGACCGTTTGAATTTTTAATGGAATTGACTGAGGTTTTACAATTTGTCTACGCGATGTCGGTGGTGTTTCTATATTATCTGAATCTATGTCAATTTTATCAGTTACATCCCCTGGATTAGTAGAATCTGAGGTTTTTCGTCGGGGAGCAAAGGGAGGTAATAATTTTTCTTCCGGCGAATCTGGACAAGACAATTGTTTTCTTAATGATGAAGGACTTCTTACATTAGGTTTTATTTCTGGTTGATTTGTTCCCCGAATATAAACTGTTAAACGGTCTTGATTAGATACATTCTGTCCTAATTTTTCAATAAAACCTTTTCTTTTATCTTCTTCTTTGATAGCCTAAATATTGATTAAAAACAATAACATTAGACTAAGTTTTTTTTTTATTTAAATAATAAATAATAAATCTATAAACTTACATGTAAAGGTGTGCTATGATTATCAAAATTTGAAAGATAAGTTGGTTTTTTAGATCTTTTGATATTACAATCAGTTTCTTCTGATGTATTTGGTACATTTAAGTTAGATTTTCGCCATTGAGATTTATCTTTAACAGGAGGTTGAGCTTCTAAAACAATTTATAGAGTTGATATTTTAATTCTTGGCTAATTCAAAGATTTTACTTACCAGCAATTGCTTCCATAACGCCAACAACATCAGTTTTATCAATAGTGGGCCTCCAATCAGCATATACTCTTTTATATCCATCATTATTTGCATTAGCTAATTTTCCTTCAGGTAATGTATCCAAAATACTACTACGGCCATCACTTTCAGAGTCATTTTCTAATGATCGTCTATTATTTTGAATTCTTTGAGTCTTGCGTCGTAAATCGTCAGAATCTTTATCTTCTTTTTCATTCTCTTGTAGCCATGCTTCAATCTTTTGTCTCCATGCTCTATAAATAAATGTAACAATAATTCGTCTATTTATAAAAATTACTTGTTTTTATATTAATTATACTTTGGCTTCGATTCTTCTTCAGGAGTTGATGCTGCAGTAGATATAATTGACTTAGTTTCTACTACAGGCGATGGCGAATTTGCTCGTTCTCTATCAGCGCTAAAATCAGCACTTAATAAGTCTGGTCTCTTTTTACCACTACCTCTGAATCTCCTTGCCCATGATCGGTCTTAAAAATAAATAAATACATAATATAAGTATTTGAATCATTAACATTTTAAAGATTTTGAAATTTAATTGGTACAATACCAAAAAACATTTAATTTATAAATATTAGTTAAAATAACTAACTTAAAAAGGCTGAAATTTTTACTAAATATTTCCATTATTACTTTTACCTAATAACACTTTGAGTTCAAATTTTAACAAAATTAGATATTCAAACATAAAATAACAATTTTATTATTTTGTTAAAATTAAAAAAAAATATTGATAGAAGAAATTAAAGGCGGGAAACTTTTAATCTTTACATATATTTTAATTTCCTATAGTGAATACTACTTTAAAAATATTTAAATTAATTTAAAGCTATTTATAGATGTTTAAAAATTATTTTTATTGATTTATGTTAATTACAATTTTGTTTCATGGTCAACAAGCTTGAGTTTTTATTATTTTATATTTTTATTGTTATTCATAACATATTGATTGCAAAACTTAAAATATTTTACTATATTACATAGATTTATGGTAAATTATAAGTTTCTGTAAACAGTTTTCTTAAAGCTATTTTTATCTTAAATCTATTGAATTTCATACCATTCTATGATAACTATATTGAAATTTAAGTATAATTTACTCATAATGTTTTTTGGAAAAAAATAGTTTAATCTACAAAATTTTGAAAATATTTATAAATTATAATTGTATTAAAAATATTATACAAGATAAACTAACTTTAGACAAAAGATATTCCACCTATCTCCTTCGCTTCAAATAGTTTTCTTCTAGATAGTAAAATTTATAATTAAATTAAAATTTAACACATCCTTTACACTAACTCACTTATTTACATGGTACCAGAGACCAAAAGGTACCTATTTTTTTAAATGCCTTGATTATTTTTTTACACCTCAACCGTAACTAAAACCTGTGACTTCAAAAGACCATTTACAAAACTTAAACCAAAATCATAATGACTGATACAGTGATACCTATTAATTCTTTCAACCTTTATAAAACTAATAATATTCCATTAAAATTTAAGACAACTTTGAACCTTTTGTCTTACAAACCCAAACATACTAATTAAAAGTTACTAGCAGGTTCCTAGGTTAAGTTACATACATTTTTATTTTAAATAATGATAAAAATAATATTATATATAGTTACATAAATTTAATAGTATTGTCAGATACTTAAGTAAAACTTCAAATACCTTTTTAAACTTAATTAAATAATAATTACTATAATTTTAAAGAACCCATTCCAAAAAATATGAATTAAATTACGGTAGTCATTTGATAATTCTAAATTCAGGGAACCGAGTTAAAAATTCCATTTATAGAGGTTTTCGATTTACTGAGTGTTTGAATAATCGAGAGAAAAAAAATTAATTCGAATTAAAGAGAAATGAAAAATTATTGTATATATGTACATATTACATTTATTTATTATACATACATAAATAATATTATATTTTACAATTATTAATTGATATTTGTCATTTATTTATTATATTATTATATTTTACATATTGAAAAATTTTGTTATTTTTTTTGTGATAAATTGCTGACCACAATTTTATTTGGTCCGTGGCGTTGTCTAACTTACTGATAGCACTGAAAATTGTATCGCATCTTTTTTCGTCCATTTCAAATTGTTCAAAAAATTAACGTAATCCTGACAAACGTTTAGATTATGTAGGTAGGGTACGATAAAGTTTATAAACTACGATAATATTTAACCACCGTCGTTATTAGTTTCATTACGAGTACGTCAAATAGATTGTACATAATCTTTATATGAATATACATTGTACATACATATGAACTTACATATAATCGTGTTTAAGGAAATTCGAATTATAGAAGTTCATGGAATAAAAATTCGAATTGTAGAGTGTGCTCCACCGACAGATATTTCGAATTATTGAGGAAACCGGAATACATGTATACTCTCCTAATTATAGAGGTTTTCTCAGGGCACTCAGCGTTTAGTTTGATTTATGGAGTTTTTCGAATTATCCAAGTTCAAATTAACGAATAACTATTGTATTTATTTTTTGTTTAATTAAACAATTACTTCTTTCATATAATAAATTTAATAGCAAAAAATTTTCTTTACTATATATTATAGTATTTAATACATAATATTTTAACAGTAATAACTCAATTATTGAACATAATAAAAGTTATTTGACTTGTAATTTTTTTTACAAATTTGTATAATATTTTTTTAGTATAATTAATTTTTACAAATTTGATAAAATAATTTTTTTACCTAAACTACCCCATGATTTTCTTTGAATATTTGATACAGGTGGAGCATCTTGATTAGATGTTCGCAAGAAATCCATTAATGTTATTTCGTCTTCTTCTGATGGCACTCTACTTCTTCTACGTCGCAAACTTCCATTTGGAGTAACATCTTATAAATGATACAATTATAAACAAATTTATGATTGACAAAATTAGTAACTTTCTAAACAGAACATAATGAATAGGTACCGGGAGATAGATTATCTTCTTTATTAGGGTTATCGACAACACCAAGTCTTCGTCTAATTACAGCTGGTGAACCAGATACTGATATATTATCCTCTTCTGAAGTTACAATTGTTGCATTATGTGGTCTTTTACCCTGGAAATGAATAAAAATAGAATACTTGATATTTTTATTTAATTTAATTAAACATACCTTATCAAAGCTCTTTTTATGAGGAAATCCTGAACGAATGTCATACAAAATTGAATCAACTAAATTACTTTCAACATCAGAGCCATTATTTTGTTGATCATTGGTTACTATAAAATGTTTAATATATATATGTTTGATAGTTATTAAATTAAAAACTACAATATTATATTATAAATTATTTATCTTACATAATCTTTTTTTCACAGCTAATTGTTCTTCTCTTTGTTTTCGACGAACTAAAGCTTGTTCTTCTTGTACTTTTCTTCGTTCATTTTCAGCCACTGCTAATCTGAATTTCATACAAAAACTATGAACAATTCGGAAACATTCTTCTAATTTGAATGTGTTAATATCCTCGCAAAAGAAATCGGCCAATGTTTTCCTCATGGATTCCAACTCGGCAATATCACTTTGTAAGCCCCCAACTTGTCTTTCAGCAACCTATTAAATTTGTAAAAATAATCATTCATCATGTTTTATTATTATGTGTTAACATTTAAACCTTTAAAAATTCTATCATTTGATTTTTAATATCTTGCTCAGTATTAGGCAATTCGATTTGTTTTCGTACAACTTTAAACCTTGAATCTAAAGTATTTATCTCATTTTGCAACTGCTCTACAGTAGTTCTAAAAAAAATATTTTTAATTAATTTACTTAACAAAACAATTAATAAATATAAATTCAAAAAAGGGTGAAAGCAGGAAACTGCCCTGTTGTACAATATAAGACTAGGAGTTAAGTGTATTTCGTTATTGAATAGGTCATTGTAATGGATGTTAAATTTATGTCGTCACAATGTGTCATTGAAAACGACAAATGGTTGTAAGTAAAAACAGTTTAATGTCAGCTTATACTTACACCATATAAATTTATTTCTATTAATCAATATAATAATTTATTTTACTTAATAGTACCTAGTACAATAATACAGTATAAACTATAAATATGCAATTGTATAAGTATAAAAATAATATAAACGTTTTGAAAATATAATAATATTAGTAAAAATGTCCAATCTCTGCGAAAAGTATTCTTGTATTACAACAAAATAAATAAAATCGTTATTCTTGGATTAAATATTTTTTTGAATTCCGTTCAATTTGAATTTAAAATATCTTTAAAAAAAACTTTTTATGAAGAACCTTATATAAAATTTTCAAATTCTTCGACGAATTTAAAACTGTTTTTTTTCATTGACATTTATAGAAAAAAAATTTAAAAATATCTGTTAAATGTCTTTAAACAGCTCAAAACGCTTCAACATTTTATCGTGCATACAAAATGTTTATGTAATTATTTAGTTAGTGAAAATATTAATTGTCTATGGTTATTCCTTTTTAAACTACGACAAATTAAGAATATACATTTCGTCAATAACTGATTTCTGCTTTTACTCAATTTCTTTTTTACCAGTTATTTTGAAAAATACAGGATATTTACAATTTTTATCTTCCAAAAGTATCATTCAGTTTCAATTTTCTATCATAATCCAGTATCCACCCTATAAGTTGACGATCGAAATTATTTTTTTCTACGATACAACCATATATACACAAAAAAATAAATGTATTATTATTATAAAATCAATAGATTCATTGCTTCGCTCAGAACTTAAAATATTATACAAAGCTATAAAGAATAAAATTAATAGAACATCGTACACGCGTGTATATTGACTCCGTGAACTACTAACGTATAAAACTTGGCAAATCGTACGTTCATATCAATCTATTTTAATATTTATTATTTTAATATTAAAATGAATCAACTCTAATAATTATTTAACAAGATATAATTATTATCGAATAAAAATATTATTCAGGATAAAATATTTAAGAATCAAGTTATGAGCATTTTGAAATTGTAGATTATCATAAAAATTTTACGTGTAGCCCTATATAATATTATTACATTTAAAACTAATAATAAGTAAGTTTACTTTAATACATAAATAATCTAAACGTACAATTTGCTTTGTTATGCTAAGTAAGACGAATTATAATATTGGAAATAAATCTTACATATTTAATTGTGTGAAATAACTTTTTATAAAATAATGCATATAATTATTTATAAAAGTTTCAAATTTTGGATTGATAGACGATAAATATGTGTTATAAGATATTATATAAACAAATTTAGTAAAATATCCTGTATTAGAATTTTGAACGATACAAATTGATTAGTATTTAAAAATCAAATGTTGAATATTATAATATTATATTTAGTGTATAATAAAATTCTAATTTTAGGATGTATAGTAATAACAGTAATTATGTGTATAATATTATCATGTATCACAATATTTTTGTATAAACGATAAATATATTTTTTTGAACTAATTTACTAATATCATATATTATTATTATATATTATTTTACTTGGTAGCTTCTTCTAATACAGACATCTCTTCAGGAAATTTAAGTAAATCTTTTCTATTTTTTTCGGCTTGCTATAACAAAATAACAACATTATTTCCTTAATTATATGATGATTTAACTGAATGTTATTTGTAGTACTCACCAGTGCTACATAATGGATAAGATTCATACCAGGTTTATTAGCTCGTATATCAGTGAGTTTTTGTAAAGAACTTAATTTCACCCCAGCAGCTTTTCCCGCATAGCCACCCTAAATTTTAAATAATACGTCTTTATTTTTTTCATTTTAATAAATTATAAATTTTTCACTTACAAAATTTAAAAAATTTCCAGCACAAATCACCATGTATAGTACTTCTTGGAATCGTTTATTCGTCATTAAATCTAAGTTAAATTATTTTATGTACCATAAATTTTATATTATTGATTTCATTAAAAAATATCAAATGTTTTTTTTTTACCTTCACCTGCGACGATCATTGAATTAATGCTTGGCTCGAGGTAACTCATATTTGATGCGAATTCCTCCTTTAATAACATACTTTCAATGCGTAACTTGTAACTATAAATAAAAATTCACAAAAACATTTGTAGGTATTACAAACATGGTAATGGTTTCAGGACGAAAAACATTATTGAAGGTTAATTGTGTAGTTTTTTCTTACTTGGGAATGTCAATCAATTGTAACAGGAATTTCTCGGCATTTCCCAATTTGGTTTTATCTCCTTCGAAAGCCCTAAGCATTTCTAATTCATCTAACTCTGGTAAAATTTTTAGTAAACCACGCAGTTTTTCTGCCCCTATATCATCATGATCACCATCACGTATTAACTGTATAATATCCTCATTTGAACTGAAAAGTGAAAATACAAATCATGCATAATCTTTGAACATAAAATAGTTATCGTAAATATTATTTCAAAAAAATACTACAAACCTCCGAAATTGTTTCAAAAATATATTGACGTTTAAACTTCGTTTTCCGTCTAATAAAACAATCTGAAAATTAAAAGTAATTAAAAATACCTTTCCAATAATAATTAACAATATAACTTTGATATTTTTTTTTAATTTATTTTTTTATTTACTTCTGTTGGTTCTTTTCGTTTTTTTTCACATTCACTAGTATCTTGACCTAATCTTAAGTTTAATACTCCACTTTGACTAGTTGTAGCTGTGGGAGCTTGTTGACAAAACAAACCTTCCATTTCTGACCAATCAAGATCTGGCATGGGTGAATTTTGATGGCTTCTAGCCACAAGTGACCAAATATTATGGCGTCCAACGACCTAAAGTGGAAGATTAATTAGGTGATACATAAATTTAAGTTTTAGTAAGATAATTTGAAGATAAATACTAATAATATTGTTTTTTCTAATATATCCTACATAGATATAAAATGATGACTGTATTGACGTTGTTTAGACAAATAAGTATGTCTAGTATTTAAATTGTATAGTTACGTAGTTAAGTAAGTTATAATACTATGTCTATACTTAAATTTTTATAGTGAATAAGAAAAATAGCTCTATTGTAACCGTTAATATATTTTATTACATATTGTGTTTCATGCTTATGTTGCGTAATAATTATTGATGTAGATATAGATTTATAATATTACTATTTATTACTCAGTATACTTATAGCCTATAGGTACACTTCAAAAGTAGTATTGAATATAGGTATGTTTAAAAAAATGAATCAACATTATGAAAGAGGTTATTATAATATAATATTGTAGAAAATTTTAAGTTAATAATAAATACATAAAAATATATCATTATTAAAAATAGTTTTAAATTAAGTCAATATTATATTATTATTTTTATTAAATAGATTATATGACATAATTTATCCGTTTACAAAGTATTCTCTATGTAAATATTTTAATTAAAAACTATTGTTCTAATTTTAAATCTCTCTTCAGCGCTTACCTAAATAGATTATGCTTTAATATAATATATAATCATTGTTATAATATTTCATACTTAAATTTGTTATTATTAATTTATTCTTATTTTGTAGAAAATAACGAAGATACAAATACAAAAACTAAAAACAAAAACTTACTTTGTTATCTGGGATTTTGTTCCAATTGATAGTTTTCATTTTGGCTTTAGGCGTAGGAGTTTCTTGTTGAGGTAATAATTTAGCAACCACAGAGACCGAGGGTGGCGGTGGAGGCGCGTCCACGGTAATGGCCGATCCGCTGTTGCCCATCGAGAGGAATCTTTTTCCTGTGTGTTGTGCTAATTCGATAGCCGTAGGCTGCTGATTTTGAGGAAAGAAAGGCGCTGGGGGTATCGGCGGCGGTGGTACGCCCATCAACAGTGGTGGAGGAGGTGGGGGTGGTGGTGGATTCCCGGAGGACTGTAGAGGAGGTGGTAATGGTGGAGGTGGCGGTGGCGGAGGGGTGGCCGACGTGGGTGAAGTCACGTTTGATGGGCCCAATGACTGTTTGCGCCCACAACAGCACACCCGCAAACCCACATCCCTAGGTTGACTTTGACCGAGAACGCTCGGAGAGCGTAACAGGCGTGACGCGTCCTGCCGGTTCTCGAGTAATGTCGAACGATGTACCAGCGTTTCGGCCGTATCCCAGACGATATCGCTAACGGCTTCTTTGGGATCGATCCTGAGTAGATGCTGGAGGATGCTCAAGAATGGTATTTCTTGTGGAGTATCTGCTACCTATAGTGTATAACAAATGACCACACATTTTATTGATTTGAAGTTAACATTTTTAATATTTAGTAGGTACCTATTCTAAGGCTTCAACTACCTACCAATGATGCGTAATGTTGACACAAGGGAAATTTGTAATTCACAACAAAATAAATATTCGTAATTTACACTATCGAAAAAAGTTGAAAATAGTATTTGTAATTAGCACCAAAATGAGTATCTATGTATCTATTCGAGTATTCAATTATTTAGTTGGTACCGACGTTAACATCAAAACTCAATTAATTCAAATGAAAATAATAATTTTTTTAGATTCCTAATTACTCTCTTCCTTATTTTTGTAATCATTACAGACTTTAACAACCGATTCGTCGTAATCGCCTAATTACACAATATTACATTTATTAATTGATTAAAAAAATAATGCATTTGTTAAATTATTAATTATTATAATACTTTAATATATAATTGTTATTAGATAGATTTAAAGTCAACATTGATGTACCGTAGAATATTGTTATTGTGTAAATACTAAATAGGGTAGTAAAATAATAGGTCAAAATCTAAAATGAATTAGGTATCCTATATTATTACTTATTAACTTCTCATATTTCATCTTAACATCTAATATTGAAACGTGTAGGTACCATGTACATATAACATTGAAAGAATAAACTATTTTAGTTTTAGTGCAAATAATAATTCATTTTTTTTTACTGCCATAACTAGTGAAAATTATATATTTTTATTTTTATTCAAATTACAATTGCTGTTAGTATTTTAGTCAAATTTAGTGTAAATTGGCTATAGCTGACACAATGTATACTAGTGGTTTTATATTACACAAGTTAACTGTTAAGAATATTGTTTTTAGCTGTTAGCTTTGTTATAATATAAATTATAATACTGTTAAAATAAAATGTTTATAGTAAGTATTTATCAAAAGTGACATTATAAATATATTTAAAATTGTTTACTTATACAATACTGTGTTTGCTGGTACATATAGGACATAGATTATACATAGGTATAGAATAATAATAATAAATGTGTAATTGTGAGTACCTATATACACGTGCTTGAATTCATTAACGTCTTTACTCCTAAATTATATAATATGATTGTGTTGTCGTTTAATATGGAAATAAATAATTAGGTACTATTTTGTTGGTTCTGTAGGTTCTGTTTACTTTTAAATAGGTATTTTTTTAGTCAATATACAATAATTATTCAATGTCTATTTTATATTTTTACTAATTAATATGTTGTGGTTTTTATTAATTATTATATTATTTGTTAATTTATTATAGCTTAAAAACAACAGTACAACATAAAAACTTTAAATATAAACCTTAACTGTAAATTTTATTATTTTAAATTTAAAAATATAACTTGTCGTTAACGGAAAAAATATAGAATTGAGGAGAAGAAACCATAAAGATATTATTTTATTGAATTTTATGATCAATATATTTGTATATCGAATAAAGATATTTAATATTAATAGTACTCGCATATACATATTTTTTATTTTTTACTTCTCACTGCACTTAAAACTGCAGTTATTATCGTTCATAATATTTATAAATTGTGAAAAATAAAACATTTCTAATTTTTCAATTAAAAGTTCAATTCAAAACAACTTTACTAGTTATCCTAAACACGAACTAGAATTATTTTTACTATATTTCACGTAATTATGATATTAAATTAATGTATAATAACTAATAATATTATTATAGAATAATTTTTGTTTCAGTTAATCATTTCATTATTTATACCAAAATAATAATAGTAAATGTGTATAATATGATATTATTAAACTGATAATGATAAATAAAATACAATATTTCAATAATTACATATTTATATGTCTTTCATAAATTTAAAAATGTTCTTAATTTAACAAGTTTCTGTCTTTGAGACGTTTAAAAACAATTATTATAAATATTAAATATGAAGAAAATTTTAATTTTAAATATTTTTAAATTACAAAAATTAAATTAATTTTTCATATTTAAAAATTTAAATTTTTACATATTAAATTTTATTTTATTAATTTGCTTTACTTAGTATACAGTAATTTATTAATTTAAAATAATTTAAAATGTTTACTAACCTGTTTTAAGATAGCGTAAAAAACATCCACATGAGAGTTTATATCAACTCCACGAAAAGGTACATCTAAAATTTGTGATTCATCATTTTCTCTTTGCTCGTCGAAAACATCTAATTGTACCCCAAGATCTGCATAGTTTATTGATCCTTTCCTTAAATAAATGAAAAATATAACAATTTTCCAAAAACTATAATATGTATTTAGAAACTAAAGCAGTAGGTATATAGCTTCAGTAATTGTTTAAGAACGACTGATGCTGGAAATAGCTATCGTTTTTATTCGGTGACTACGGAAGTTCATTTTTTTCTCACCGACGAGCACGGTGTACTATTCTTGTATATTTAATTCTGGACTCCAGTGCCAGTAACCCGCTGCTAGTTTATAACCATTATTTGGCACATAGCCCGTCTTTAGATCGGAGATATTAAAATAAAAAGATATCATAATGAATGTCAAGTCCAAATGATATAAGAATAAACAAAATTTCTAATATATTAGTTAATTAAGAATTTGAATGTTAAGTTATTTTAACTGAAGACATGTAAATTAGTTTTTAATTTTTAAGTTTTAAGTTAATATATTTTGACCTTCATACATTTCAATTTTTATGAATAGGTTAGACAAAGTATATCAGAAATATCTAATGATTTTACATACAATATATCAATTATATTAATAAATTATTTTTACTAACAATCTACTTATTTTATAAATATAAAAAATGTATTGATAAAACGTAAAATAAATATTATTATACATATTATGCAATTTTAAATAAATTGATGTGGGTATTAATAAGTAATAACATATTATTATACATTAGGTTATATTATAGAAGTTGTAAACATGTATTATTGTATTCACGCATGCATCTATAAATACAATCCTTCGTATGGTTGTTTTTAGATGGTACTTGGAAACCGTTGAATATTTGAAAAGACATCTAATAAATTTCATGAAAATTTCTTTACTTCACTAACGCAAGAGAGTAATTGAAACATCATTGGCACCATTCCTAAAGGTTTAAATTCTTATTTTCAGTTAAACTATGCTCTCTCAAGCTATAATATGTGCTTTTATTAGACTTAGACAACAAATGAATTCAAATTTACTATTAAAAAACCGTAAACATTTACTTTTTAGAGAATAATTCTACAAATTATTATATTGAACAGTAATATAACATTTTAAATAAAATTAAAAAAAGAACATATAGTAGGTAACCGCTCTCTAATGAATGTAATATAAATGTTAAATTTGAATTCAATAACAACTTATAATTGTACACGGAAAATGGTTCTGGGCGAAAACTGTCAGTCTTTATACATTATACTAAATAAGTTTCTGATATATTTATATTATTATTATAGTACTTTATTTTATGCATTATTGATATTATGTTAGACTTTAAACTACAGAATAATAGTGTTTATATGATATAAATAGAATTAAAATTAATCGACGAAATAAAAAAAATTGAAAACTGGTTTTACATAAAAACTCCCGTTTTTACTCAGCTAATTTATTTATTTTGTTTAACCCAATTATTTTGAAAAATACTAAAAATATTTTACTTTTCATTTCTTAAAGTACTAACTAAATATAATCCGCTACCAGAAATCACTTATTGAAAATGAAATTATATTATTTTTACTGCCCCAATAAGAGTAATGACAGTCACAAAAAATACACATTATTGTAAAATTAATGCATTTGTCGCTTCATTCAGGATCGGATATATATGTATTTAAATTTTTTTTTTTACTTACTATGTAAAGTTTATTTTATACTAGCCATAAAAAATTTTTAGATGTCATTGTATTTTAATGTTCAAAATATAAAATTATTGGAATCTAGGTAGGAACTCATAAATAATACCATAACAAATTATAGTAGATAATCTATTTTATTAAAATATCCTAAAATATAGCATATTAGATTGTGTAAACTACTGAACTATACCTACATATTATACATTTTAGAATAAACACAAATAATGTAAGTATAAATACTAAAATATTTAGTAAAAATTGCTATATTTTTATTAAAATTTGAGGCTATATTTATTGTCATGAACCTATATAAGAAACCGAAATTATGAAATTGTTGGCATAATTAAAGTTATTAAAGCCCTTAATTTAATTGCAATATTTTTTATCAAAAGAATATTATACAAAAAAAAAGTTTTAAAAAATATTAAAAATTCTCAGAAAATCATTGTAAGAATAGTAGAAATAAAACATCAAATAAATTGCGGTAACTGTTAGCTGTTAGGTTAAGGTTTTAATTTATATGAATTTAAGACAAATAAAATTAATTACCTCAGTTCATTTAATATCGGAAGAAGTTTGAGACCTGAAAAAAAAAATGATTTTAAAATTATAATTTTTAGGTACTAATGTAGATACTATAAATATTACTCCATTTAATTATTTCATTCGTGTATACAATTTTATTTAATTGTTTAATATAAATAACTATAGGTATGCAAAATCAACATCTCCTAATTTAACTAATAGTTTAATTGTTAATATGTTCATAAATTATTATTATATTTTTAATGTATGTATGTATATATAATAATATAATAATACTATTTGTAGAAGTATATCTCATATTATACCTAGGTACTTCGTAGAATTAATTACAATAATGGATATTACTTATTTGTTATATTTTTATGAAATAAATTAATAAAGTCAATGCAACAGACAACAGTTCTTAAACATATCTCTATTATTAAACAGTCAAATCGTTAAATGCTTACGGCTTACCAATAAATTCATTCCTGATTCTTATCCGGTCTCGAAGCTGTGGCGTAGATATGATGAGGCAGTTGATAAATGCCACAATAGCTGTTTGATAGTCTGCTGTTTCTTGGCCTTTAGATAGAGCCCATTGCAATTCACGAACAACGATTTGTAATCTGTACCTTTCATTCTTTTGGTCCTGTAAAGTGTAATTTTTTTTTTTAATTAGCTTTTATTAAAGTATAATTTTTTTAAAAATATTTTCAACAATGAAATACTTAATAAAAATAAATATAATATTAATTTATTTTGTTTATAACTATTAAATACACAACAATTTTATAACTAATATAATAATATAGGTAGGTGCATACAATTAAAATTTAATTTTACATGATTTCTTAGAAGTCGGCAAATTTTAGATTTGCCTACAAGAAAGAATAATGGCGAAAGATAATTATACAGAAATTTTAAGATACATAATAATAAACGACTAGGTAAATTACTTTGATCAAGGTAAATGGTTACAATAATAATTAACAACTTTTAGTAGTGTTACAAATTCAAGTATGTAGTTTGTATAATGCTACTATAATTATTTATTATTTATATTTTATAATAATAATCATAATATTTTTATTTTTTATTTTTTTTGCAGGCAATCGAGTACACAATCTACGCCATGAGAAACCACAACTCTGCGTCTCCGTTGCGCATTCTAATAATGGAATTTCTCCCACCATGTCGTTGTCGTATGACTCAATGAATGGTAGTGGGTGATACGCGGATTTTGAAACGTTTTGATCGTCGCCGAATTGTAGTTTCTCGTGGTGTGGAGTATAGAATTATTATTAATTAAAATAATAATAATGAACACAAGTTCATTATAATTACTAATTTGTATTAGGTACGTATTATTACATTTCAATAATCTATTAAATACTTAAAATGAGTTTAAATTCTTAGTTAGTTAAAGATTTTTAATTAACGTTTATAAATTATAACAAAGTATGTAGGTATCAAATATTAGGTATACTGTAAAAAAAATGAGTAGGTACACTTATTGGCCATTTAAATAATACTTTTTATACTAAATAGTATTTAAAACTACTAGTAAAAGGAATAGTTCAGTAAAACATAATGTGCATAAAAAAAACGTATCTATAGAATATAACCAAGTATATTTACTTATCACTTTTAAGTAGGGTTTGGAACTTAATGTACTTAAAAAGTACTAAATATGCATTCACTTATACGCGCAGAATAGTACAAATATAATTTAAAAATAGGCACTTATAATTTTTTCTACTCAAAATTTTCATAAATACAATTGTTTTGTTAAAAAATATTTTTATATTTTATAATTTGTACTAAATTAATAAAAACAGCAAATTATATATCAAGTTAGGATTTGAAAATACAATACAATAATACCTAGTTGAATCCCCAAAGTAAAGTATACATTACAAAGATTTTTTTTTATCATCAAATTTTTAAATCGAATTATAAATATATCATTAATCATCAAATATGCTCCGAAAAATAGTAAAATTGAAAAATATATTTTAATAATTACAAAATCATTAACATGCAAAAATATGTATTTAAAACTTTTTATATTATTTTCGTGAAGTCATAAAATTAATTTCAACCTTACTTAGCAATAAATTTAATAGCTCAAAAATAAGTGCAAATACAATAACTAGCACTACTTATAAGGCCATAAGGGTACACGCATTTTATAAACCTACAATAAAAAAAATAATATTTATAAATATTAAATAATATTAGTAAATACAAGTATTAGTATTAATTAAAACCAGGGATACAAAAATATTTGTATCAAATCAAATAAGTTCAAATTAATTAGCTACAGAGAATTTGGGAAAAGGGTACAATGACGTTTATAATAGGCACTTATTTAACTTAAATATAATATGAATATGTGATATAAGTATGCAATGTATCTAAAATTACACAGTAATAAGATGTATTTTGTTTACGTCATGTCATGTAATGGGCGTACAGTGGTAAAATTAAGTAAAGCAAGTGAGGGGGACTTGACATTAATATTGCTTAGTGCCAGAGGCGCAGTCTCCAAGTAATATGTCTACATATTACACATAAACCAAATTTACCTAGTAAATACATAAAATACATTATTATATTAATTGCATTTATAGGTAGGTACAACAACTATTCTCTAAAAATATTGTACGTTATATGATATATTAGTAAATGATACCATATTATATTATTATGCCCATATAGGTATTTATAATAGTACTAAATAATGTTGTAACTTGTAACAAAGTGAAACATTACAATATTAGTATTACCTATAAATGCCTTTATATAAAACATAATTACATAAATTACCATGTTAAATACTATATTTACACTTTACAGTGGCTAAATGGTTAATATTGAGAATTGTAATATACATCGGGGGATCGCATTTCAGATTGTCTTCATTTTTAAAGTGATTAATTAATAAACACATTTTCATTAATAAATTAGTCATTAAAAATAGAATCATCGATACTTTAGTAAGGTAAGTATAACAATTGTGGTTTACTTACCTTGTAATGTTGAAGGGTATCAAGTGCTCTGGCATGGCCTTCTAAATTATAAACACATAATGCAGACAACAACTCCAATACTTGCTTTTTCACAGTAACATTGTTAGTGTCAAGAGCTGTAAAAGAAATTATTACACGGTGCAAATTAAATAATTATAATTGAAATTCGATACTTTTAATTTTTACATATTTATTAAATAAGTAAGGTGCCCATAAAGATAATTTTATAACTACGTTGTAATCTACTTCGTCGTGATCTCTGTCAATTAAAGATTAATGACATTTTTAATAATTATATAGTATGACTCCAAGTAATATTTTTTTATAGCTTATAAGTCTTATTTATTTCACTAATAATAAACAACTAAACACTTAAAATTGGCAGTTACATTCCCATGTTATTTGTAAACGTGATATTTAGTTTTAGTTTTAATTACTTACCATAATGGGAAAAACTAATAATAACTGTCAGATTTACATTATTTTAGTATGCATTTGAATATGCAAAATCAATGACTTTTCATCATTAATATAAAAAATTTGTTGAAGTTGGTTAGACAGAATTAAATTTAAAATCATTTAGAAATATGTCCCTAACTTTCTAAATGTAAGTTACTGAATCTTATAAATAAGTAATGTCAACGTTTTGAAATGTTCTGACAGAAATAGTTATTTTTGGATTGTTTGAATGTTATCAGTGGCGCCGAGTCATATAAATTTTAGTGAAGCAAAATCAAAATATTTTGGTAAATAAATTAGGAAATAATATATTCAATATTTTCTATCTCAAATAACTAATAACTTTAGTTATTTATTTAATTATTTAGTATAGGTATTATGTAATATAAAAACAAAAATATATAAACAAATAAAACCACCCACCCTCTTTATTATATGAAGCGATTGATTCAGCTCATGTATAGGTTAGACTTAACAAAAATTTAATGTTATAAATTTATACAATCAAGACATTTTTCATTAAAAAAATAACAGTGAAACTATATTTTAAATTTAAAATGTAATATTTAAGTATAGCAGTCTTACGAAGAAAGTATTATGTTATACTAAACGACGTTAACCATTCAATAAGAAGTATTAATTTTTCTTTAATCTAATTAGTAATAGAACAAAAGTGATTTTTTACATTTTTTTTAGAAAGCACATTTCATATTTTATAATAGTTTTAAATTTTGAAGGAATCCCAAAAATCATAATTTAATACAAATACCTTGATTACCTAAAAGGTTGTATATTAAACATTTTTACGTAGATAAAACAAAATTAGAACCTAATATTAATTCCAAGTATGATTATTACTATAAATTACACTTATATTGTTATATTAATGATTAATAAAAGATATAAACAATAATCAATATATAAATAATAATTAGTATTTAATAATGATAACATTAAAACATTAGACACTGAACTATGCTAATAAAAATGTTTCATTTTATAGTAAATACAAATATATAATAAACTAATTAATTAACAACATTTTTTTTAAATTAAAATTAATAATTTAATGATTGCTGTATATATTTAACGAAAAATAAATGAAGAGTATGGGGTATACAATAAATTATTTATATATATTATTTATCTTATACATATAAGATAAACTAAAGTAAACTCAAACTAGTTCAGATACGTTTGATGAGGTGTAGCCAGTATACTGTATAGGCCATTACTCAATATTTAACAGCAACAACATTTAAACTCAAAAAAGGATAAAAATATACCTATATTAGAGTTTACCTTTCAATAATCAACACATTTGTTCTGGTCGTGATGATCAACTGGAGCCAAACGAAGGCCAACTAACCTTATATGTTTACTTAATTAGTACGTAGTACATGTATGATTTGCTTGTACTTTCTTATTATACCTACTGTGTCTGTTATGAATCATAACCAATTTAACATTTACAAATTAAAAATAAATGTATATCCTTCTAAGCACCTTATAGAAAAATATAACTATCATTTTATTTATACCATTTCCTAAGGAGGTAAAAATTATGTTGAAAATTTGAAAACGTCTTGTGATTTATTGTTTGAAGGATAAACATTTTTCATCTTTTTATAAGTACCTGCATATTTATGTACGTATATCTTGTATACGTAGTATCTACCTATACCTACCTAAAATCAAATTTTGAAAATAAACTATTAAAATTATGTACAAATACAAATTACAATTACATTATTATATGAAACATACTATTGATATATTAAGTCCTGACAATATCTAAGAAACCATATTGCATATAATACATATACTTCGATAAATTCCTAAAATTGTTTTTCTCTATAATTAATACATGAATATAGTTGAGATATTTCATGTTAAAATGTATAAATACATATTAAGTGTTTATTTAATTTTAAATCTTAATAAACCATAAATATGAATAAAATAAATGTTATATTACACGACCTTATATAATTTCATAATTTTTAATTCAATATAATATAGTTATATACAATGTACACATTTAAAAAAAAACAAATAAAAAAAAAATTATAAATTAAATAAATGCCAATCTAAGAACTTATTTAAAACTCATTGTATTAATAATAATAAACAGTTACTTTTTACTAACCTATATAATATATGTGTACTTTTGATCATATAAATTATAATTTGTATGATATTCCTCTCAGATTTCAATTATCACAAAATAATAAATATTATATTGTATATTATTAGCTGAAGATATTATAATAGCTATGTAAATTCACAATAAAAAAAAAAAAATGTTAATTTATATTATATTATTAAACTTTGTACATAATTTTTAAAATCTATTATTCATAGTATACTTTCAAAGATCAAGCAATATTTGTGTGCTAGATTACTAAAAAGTAGAAAACAAAACAAATATTTTTAAAAATTAAGTGTTTCTAAAAAAAAAATTTGTTAAATAATAAATAAATACAATTACTTCATAATTAATTAAACTTGCTAATCGTCTTAGATAAATGAACCCAAACCTACCCATCCATGTAGTTATCATGGTTTAATAATTTTGTGGTTAGCGAAATAAAATAAAATAAATATAAGTAGACTATATTTTTATTTATACCTATAGTTATTGATGATTTCACAAACCTAAAAAACTGAACAATAGAGAATAAAGGTACTAATATATTGTGTTTCTTTATTTCATTTAACTAGAATTTTAGTATATAATAAATTAAAAATAACAAATAATTATAAGTAACAAAAATATATTTTTCTTCTCTACTTATTATTTTGGGTGTAATCAATTTGCACTAAAACTGACCCTAAATATTTACAAAATGTGTAATTTGCACCAAAAACTTTAAATTGCATTTATAATAATGTTTTCAATATTATATGTACTTATTTTACAATAATATGTTTTTTTTTTGTGTGTTACACACGGTATGTCATTGAAAATATTTAATAATATTGAACTTTGAAAATGTTTTTATAGTAAATTAATCATAGCTTTTTACTTTTGAGAAGTCAAAATTAAAAATTCTCGATATTATATACAATATTTTTAATGAAGTTACAAATTTTCTAACTAATGATTTTTATACTAATTTAAATAATAGCATATTGCTTACAATTAATTTCTGGTTACTATACTTAACATATTACATCCAATGTCAAAAATTGTAATCAAACTAATATTAAACTTTTTTTTAGATTAAATTAAATCTTTGGAAAAGAAATAAATTGCTTTTTAGAAGCAATATGTAATACCTAACCTATCCGTCTATATATAAATAGATTAATAAACTTCATTAGTGGTTTTGTTGCGCCAGCGCCAATCAATAATTATCGAAAATACATAGTTGCAATATTTTTTTATAATCCTTTGATATAAGAATTTTGAGGAATTTCGTCAAATTATTTTACACTTAAAATATCATTAAAAAAAATTTTTCATACCTAAGATTTAAAATTTTAATACAAAATTATAATAAAAAAAAAGTTTACCGGAAACTCACATAAATAAAAAAACATTTTTTTAAAAAGTAATATAATAAACAAACTTTTTTTTAAATATTTTAAACGCAACTCATCAAAATTAATTTCTTATTTATAATAATGCTTAAATGTAATGTATAAGTATATTATAAAGGAACATCATATACTTATATTATTTACATTGTGATTCAGTGATTTTATAAACCGTGATCTATAAGTAAAATGTAATTTAATTGAAAAAATTACGATACAATTTTACGTTATTTTTTTTTTTTTAACGTTTATGTATAAAATATTTTAAACAAATTTACATATTTCAAACAAATTCCAACTTTGTCAATAACCTGTGTAATATAACTATTTTTCTTTAACCACGGATTTTAATGTTTTGTTTTAATCCAAAAACAAATAACTATAACAGGTATTTTATATTTTCACCAAATGTTAATTTTTTTTATTTTTTTTTTAAATTATTGTCGATAAAAATATTTTTGTTAAATCAAAAAGCAAGAAAAATGAATACAAAGTTCTTTATACGTTGTTATAATTACTTTAAAAAAATATTATTTCACAATTGTTTTTTAAAGTATCTCAGATTGAAATTTCGACAAAATAACATATTTAAACTATGAATAATTATGAATGATATTTGTTTTTTGTTATGATTTAAAAGCATCATTCATGGGAACAGTTATAAGTTGTACGCGTACTCAATATAAAAAATCTATTATACGCAATGGAATTTTCAAAATATGTGGATTAATTTTAAGCTATTACTTATTTATACTATAAATCTATTCATAATGTTTTACAACAAAGTGATATTATTGACTCTAAAGTTATAATAACAATAATGCAATATGGTATAAATAATAAATACATACTATAATGATTAAATATTAATAATATAATAAATTTATGTTAGGCACAAAAATAAAATCATCCTACTTAACACCAATTATAACTTGAATAACTACTCGTAATAACTTTAATAACAATATCATAAAATATATTAAAGTAATACGTAGGCTAATTATTTACCACCTTCATTTAGTATTGGTTTTCGTGTACAATCACATTACATTGTAAAATTCAAATCTAACTTATTCATGACGGCAGTGACTTATTCGAAAACTACTGTATAACA